ACAAAATATGCAAAAAATCCATGTAAGGTGTTAAAGACACCCGCAGCATAGGCAGAAGCAAAAGTTAAGGAAAATGTCAGCATATGTTTGTCCTTCTGGCTATGAATTATGGAATATCTACCTGTCGTCTCTGCTTTGTGGCAGTGCAGGTCTTCTGAGACCTTGGGCTGTGACAGCATACACAAGCCTCATTTACAGAAACCAGAGGGATTGTATGCCAGCACAGACGCATATATTTTTAATGTCCCATTATCACAGTCAAATTGTATCAGCCTCTTTGGCACAGAGTATGTGGCTGCACCTTGGCAGAACCTGCAAACAGTCCATTAGGCTTCTATCTGGGGTAAAACCTCTCCTCTCTGTCGACTGAAAGCTGTAAGTAATGGTCACCTCGAGAGAGAAGAGAAGGTAGGACGACGTAAAGGACATGTTCCCTGCTACTTTAACCACTAGTTCTGGATGTACCTTTTATCATCATGATTTTCACTTGTTGACTTTAAAAGAATGTGTACAGACACTCAAAACCAGTCAATGCAGCCTTTCAACTGATTGCTGGACAATCAAATCTGACATACACAGAGTACACAATCCAGAGACAAATCTACGTGGAAAGCCTGTGGATGTAAAAAGAGTACTGGATACAGAATTGAAGGCTGGGTCTTGTCCTTTCCTTAAAAAAGTTCCGACAGTATGAAGCAAAACATTGGCTTGACTGTTTGTATAAAAATACCAAGATCACCTGGGGACTTGGGCCCATTGAGCATGGGTACTGGTTTTGTCCTTAAACCCCGCCTCCAAATCCGCTCCATCAAAAACTGGAATATTGATATATCAAAAATATATATACTGTATGCTGATTTACAGACTTCTCTTTTCCCATGTAATTCAATTTGAGAAACTCGTTTTGGGCCCACATGACGTCACAGACTGTCAAAGAATTAACACTGTTTGGCCACTACAAAAGTCTTTAAGGCCAGGCTCATTTCCTAGAATCTTGGTAACGCCCTATAGAAAAAACAAGTTCAAGGTGGGGGAGTTCACAGTTCATATTAGGTTAATCACACCGAGAGTCGTGTATCAACTGTGAGCTGATGCAGACAGACACGGTAATGGTTTTGTGTGGGATGTAGCAAGTCGTGTACCAAGGTGGCCCCGGGCATTCTCTTACTCTCCAGCGAACATCACTGATGAGTCAACAATCAGCCCCCAGGGTCAACGTTCTTTATGATCGCTCTCCGCAGCACTCTATTTCTCTCCCCCTGTTCTCCTTCCCAGTCTCGCTCATTATAACTTTCTCGCTCATTATCACTCCCTCCATCCAACTTGTTCTTTCTGAGCCTCTCACATTCAACCAAGATCTATGTGCTTCTTTTTCGTCGTTAGACTCACTCCCTTTACCGTTCGTAGGCTCTCTCTCAATCATTCTCTGTCCATCTTGTTACAGCCCAGATTTATTACTGCAATCTGTCAATGCTGCCGTCTCACCCCCTGACACATTTTGTGGCAAACAGCATGCATATGTTGATTTTAGTATTATGTAGGCACATACACTGGAGCTATAAAAAAACCTTAAACAGATCAACAGAAGTGACTAAATGTTTATGAATTTATATTCCCAAACGACTCATTATGCAACTATTGTAAAGTCAACCATAAATACATAGAGTTATGATGGTTATATATCTGCTACATGTCAAGAGCTGGAGGAATATATAGTGATACTATTTCAGAGTGTTGTGAGGAGAACAATAAGAGTTACATTTTAAACCTCAGTCATGTGAATGGATTCTGACAATTATATCAATGTTATGAGATTTTTAGATCCAAAGTAGATTTTCTACAGTTTATCTACAAAGCTAATGATATTTAGGCTTAGTGCAGCTATATCTCATTTGGGGATATTTTACGCACAATTCAAAACAAAAAAGCACATGTTACATTACAAAAGAGAAAGTAGATACAAAAAATATGGCTAATTGGAAGAATAGTGCTCCTCTCTGAAGCCATCAAACCTTAACAAACGATGCTGTACCAAACAAACAAATCCTCAAGGCTAAATACAAACAATACAAAGTGAAGCTGCAAAAAAATAAAAAATGTTTTACCTTGAAGCTTACTTTGGCATTTTTGTCATAGATAAAATGATAATGATAAAAAATGTTTTTTATTATTAATTTCAGCCTGTTTACCAGTGCACACAATTAAGATGTCAAAATATTTCAACTGTCAGTCTCCCTGTTTTTACGTAATAACATTATGCAGTGGTGAAAGCGTAAGGCAAAAAGTTGCACACGAACCAGCGGCCTTGATGTAAACAAGAGTGAATTCCTGTGGGGCATTGTATGTCTGTATGTTTACAAGCAGTGCCCAAGGCAAAGGTTGTGTGAAATGAATAATTCATCGGTTTTAAAAAAGGAGGCGAGTTATTGTTTGAAACATGACTACAACCATTATTTCTGACAGAATAATTAAACATTAAAGGGCAAGACAGATGCACATTGTACCTTAATGATGTTTGAATGGTGCAAACTAGAATAGGATATGCACAGTTCATAAGTATGAGTGCTGAGCTACTAAAACATGATGGCTCATCAACGATTATAAAGCCTTTTTACTGCCTATGCTCTGTGTCGACTGCCAGATCAATTTTTTCTCATAATTGTTATGATCATCAACTGGAATTCAGTGCATACATGTCTATATGAACATGCATGGGAAGGGAAAGAGAATACAACTTGGTATCTAAATGTGTGTTATGGGGGACCAGCGAGTCCTATGCAAACACATACATTTATTAATATGATTGAGGAGAGGCTTAGGGCAAAATTGAACTAAATTACACTGTGGCGCATTATGATGATGTGGATGGATGTTTATTATGTGCACACATTATTCTAGTATAGTCAGCTGCAACATTTGGCATGGCAAAAGGCTGTCTAAAGGAAAATGGAGACAGACACAGGGAGGTATGCACCCATCCAAAGGCTCTGTTCAATCAGTCAGACAGCACGACAGCTTGTGCAAACAAACTATTACTATGATACCACTAAACTAAATACCTGTCAACCTCCTTAACATGTATAAACTTATACAACTCTTTCAGCAGACAACCTGAGAATCATAAACACACAGTGTAAACCGTGCATTGAGAAAACCTCAGCAGATAAACAAAACGAAGAATCAACAATTGGATTTGATCAGTTTTCATGGTTGTTCAAAGCCAAAGACCTATAACAATAAATACAAAGAACTACAACAACAAATAACTTAATAATATCCCCACCAAAATGTAAGGAGGATGTAGGAGGTAAGCCCTTATATGGATAGCTGTTTGCCAGTCTGGCAACCACAGCTCAAATGTGATGGCACTGATATTATCACATATACAAACAACAATAACTGAGAGCTCACAATTGATTAAACTTAAATGTAGAAAGATTAATTCAAAGGGGGGGGTTGGATAGTGACTTATCCGACCCGCCCACATCGTCCGACATCGTTTCGCATAAACATTTTAATATACACATCCTTGTACCTTTGCAGCAAGAAAAACATACATCCACATAATACTGAAGCCCCCCCCCCTCCAAGGCCAGACCTGTTTAACACTATTGTGCCATTGGGCAGAATCCTGAGTTTTCCCACTGACCTATACCAGTTTAACCAGGTTGACATAATGTCTCAAAGTCCTATAGCACGCCATCGTTCATGTTGGGGACAGACTGGGACACACGTTTGATTGTTTCCCCTAGGCGCTTAGAAATTTCAATTACCTGTATACCAGACGCTGAAATGTGATTTCTGCTATCACACTGTCTACAGGCTACACTCAGCTGCCAAGCTTCTACAGAGAATAGAGAATGTATCCAAGTTCATTTTTAAACGGAGGTTAAAAACACACAAAAATGGACACTCCACATGCATTACTTGTCGGTACATTACTTTTCGGTAACTGAATGAAAATAAATTATGTTGCAATATATTGTACTGTATACCCTGACTGTACTGTATACACTGACTGTACTGCGTGTATACCCTGACTATACTGTGTGCAAATACGCTCCATTTTGTCATTACAGAGCATTGTTTTTCTCAACTCGAAGCCATGAGATGTTGGTGGAGCTGCATTGTCCGTTTTAGTTAGATGTTGTATTCAAGACGCATATTTCTAGTGAAATAAAGGGCACATTGTTTAGGAAATGTAGTATTCCTTTTGTACATCATAGTTGTTGTCCGAACAATTTCAATTTGCTCTACCCGGGCTGTGAAACCCAGTTGCTTTGTTGGTCTACTCATCAGAATACATTTCCCTCAAGTCACGCCACAGAAGCCTTGTTCATAATCAGAGGGACTTTTCAATAGCCTGCGTGCCTGCACTCCCTGGAATAAATTCACAGGCCCAGGTGGGAATGTTGCTTGGCGACTTGCACAGTCCATTAAGCTTTGCAGGGAGTTTGAGGCTGCATTTAAATGCAATATTTATTTAGAAAAAAAAAGATCTGTGGAAGCCTGGACTCCATGAGCAGTGGGAGATGGCAACAGAGGATGTAAACTGTTGAGCTGGATCATCACATAGGGGATTAATCTGTGTTTCATAAGCACGGGCAAATTTACGGCATCAAAACCTCAGCCCACGGTTTTTGCATCTCTTTATGACAAACATGGAATATTGAGCAAAAGTACATCAAGGTTTTTCTTCAGATCTTTGCTGCATTATGTATGTCCAGTCTTGGATAAACCTTGGAATTTGCTTGTCCCATCTATTGCCCACAGCCATCGTCTGTTTGACCTTACGAACGGAGCATTTTTTTGTTATCAGCACAATCATTTTTTAAACCTGATACTATTCTGCTTGAACGCCTCTTGCAAGCAAACACTGTCATTCTTTAGTTTGTGTTCAAAGTCATACTTTAGAGGGGAAAAAGCCTACAGCAGTCAACCAACATTGTGTTGGTTTAGAATATACTCTGATAATAATAATAATGCTTTGAAAAGCTTACCAAAGTCCCCTGGAACGTAGATGTCATAGACACAGCTTTGGCCTCTGGTGTAATTATGTGGGTAGTTTGGAGACAGCACAGTTCCTTCTGAACTTGTGAGGTGACCTCCGCATGGGGCTGTCGGAACAGGAAGGGAAGATAGAGAGAAACAGTGTTACCAGATTACAATACCAGAACATGTGTTTGAGCTGGAAAAATGCAGAGGTATGCAATGTATCGCAAGTGACATCACAAGTGACTTGGAAAATGACTTTTGAACTTTTAGCTGCTGACAAATATAATTTTGGCCAGCAAACCAATCAAATTTGACACGAGAGAAACTTTGGGGAAATTTTCAAAAGGAAAGTGAATTGTAAAATGACAGAAGGAAGTCGGAGTTGTGTTTACAGGGATAAATCCTAAAAGAAAAACAACCTGCAAGGAAAAGTACTTTTTGCCTTCAAAATACATGAAAACACCATCAATCAACAAAATACACAATCACAAAAGTTCCACACGCCTCGACTTTAATCAGCCCGTATCGCCCAGCAGCATGTTTTGAGAAAGTGGTGTTCAACTCCTCAGCTGAAACACGCTTTCCCTCAGAGGACTGTGCACATTCCAAGTCCAGTTGCCCTTGCTATGACACTCTTTGACATGCATTTACAACCTTGATAAGAACTAAAAAAAACTGTATGTATAAAATTGGAATGTCCGAAAAGACTACTATTCATGTAATCATGCAGTAAAGAGGAACACAGTGCTTCTAACGCCAGAGGAAGGTATGAGGTTGCCATTCACAAGGGGGATCAAACACATGTTAAAGAAAAAAACAACTATTAGCTCTAAACCAAAAGTCCTACCCCTGCAAACTTCCTAAATTCCTAAATATAAGCTGTGGTGTGATCTGCACCTGTGTCGCATCTTAGAGTCCTTTCTGGAGCTTTTAATGATGTACCTAATGTGCCAAGTGGTCCTTTAACGTAGTAGCCTCAGACCTAGAAGAGGGAGCCATTATGTGGGGGAGCCTCGACAGTAAACAAAACCACACTCATTTGTCGCAGGGAGCCTGTCACCAGCTGCTCTGAACCCCCCGTGGGCCACACTATGCACATGTCACTGCTGTTTCATGGACCAGCACAGGAGAAGATGAATAAAAGTGAAAAGAGGTGCTAATCTAGGAAGATGGATCAGCAATTTATCCATATTTGGTCGTTGGAGTAATTAAACATACCGGTGTTTGATGACTGCAGTGGGACTCTGATTCATGCTCATTTGTCAGACAGAATGGGAGCCATAGTGTCGTGTTGGGTGAGGAATTTGAGAAAGCTGCTGTTGAGAAGGAGGTCACGCTGTACTGTCAATCTGCAGCAGGTGAGAGCCGCACTACAGAATAGAAGGAATTCTCCAGATATGTTTTAATGGCCCCATTCTAGTAGGGGAGTGTAATGCAAAGGAGAAGTGGTTACACTGCAATTCCTTATAAAATACATTTTTTATTCTCAAAATGTCATGAATATGATGATTATGATATTCAGGTTGCCATTTAAGATGTTCATGTATACATTTAATTTCAAGAAAGCTCAGAATACCTTAGAAATATATGCTGTATCATTTCAAACAAACAGAAATGCAGATGCAAATCCAAGAGGTTCCAATGTGTTTACATTGTTATGTTATTACATTTGACCCAAATGTAATTTTGACCCAGCTCTGCAATCCACTTAGACAGACATTGGATCTAATGGATGCTAATCACATCTTCTCAATGTATGTATGAGATGCTAAAATGTGGACAGACAATGGACTCAATAGAAATGTAAAGTATTACTGTCAGAATAACAATTAAAGCCTAACAACTGCTGATACCATATTTGATTGGTTACATTTGGGTATTATTAGAACCGCAATTTGTTTTCACTCATCGGTCGGTTGCACATACCTAGTACAGCAGATATGAGAATGAATTGTGCTTTAGATGATAAAAACATGAAATTTGGCACACTGTTAGAGCATGCCCTAAGGTAGATTAACTATATGTATCTGGTACAGTCCACTGCACCCCTTTTTGCATCCACAGTGATAAGATACTATCAGCCAATAATGTCAGCCTGAATCAGTTTTGTTATCCATGGTCTGAAATGTACATCTTTGAAAATATACACTGTGAACTTTGTGAGGAAGACCCTATGTAGATATAAAGAGCTAATATAAGCTCCTAAAAACAATGAGTCTTCGCTTTAGCTGAATACGCATTATTAATGAAAACAAAGTTATAAATCGTAAATTGAATTTCCGACAATAGGTCACCCAAAATTCCACACAGTGTGCCTTTAGAGTTAATTGTGTGTTTTGCTTCTTTGGGAAATACTCTCAACTTCAGTTAATCGCTAAATAATGTGAAGGCACATCAGCTGACCATATGCTGGGGCAGCTGAAGCCATTACATTTAGCCTCTGGACTGTTAAGCTATGAGCTCAAATTTGGTCTCAAAGTAAAACTAGAGTGATGCTGGTGGACATTTTGGTAGCGCATGTAACCCTAGGGCTGTTCAGTAAAGTTACACAGGTGCCAACTGTAAAAGTAATGAATTTCTCCCTGGAGTGAGAGCCCCTGTGCCCCATAGCTGAAAATGAATAGTAATTCCTCCTTGGCAGATCGCATACTTTGAGGAGTATTAAAAATGGTGTAATGCTACAAGATAGAGATTGGTCGTTATCTTTAAATGCCTCCCATCTTTTCTCACTTCTCCCCTTGACACTGGGTTCACAGAGAGACGGAAAAGCTTAGGGGGTTGACTTACACTGAAGATCTGGCTGTGAATAGTGAACAGTTCATATTTGCTATAAGTTGTGTACTTGGCAACACATTGTGAAATTGTAAAACTATAACATTCCAACAGAACACTTTATGAGGTTGCCTCAACTACTGCTTTGTTTCAAGCTAATTCTGCAGACTTAGACTCTATAGAACCATCAAACATTGTGACTCTTTTATATTTCCAGTAACAGAAAATAAAACATTGTGGTAAAGGATTTAATTTTACTTAATCACAAAAGGTTGACTACCTTCTTGCGTAGTCAGTGCCTTGTATATCATGAATATATTTACATTGCTTTCGTTCACACTCTATTTCTTTCAAGCTAATTACACTGCTTAGATTAACTGAAAGTTTAGTGTTTAAAGAGTTTTCTTTTCATGACGTCTGAATATACTAGGGGTGTCATTTTAAGATTTTAAGGTCATGATTGAAATCCTTTTTTCGTTTTTTTAATTGTGATGATTGTTATGTTGACTATGAGTCTTGATTTGGAGAATTCATATCATTTGATATTTCTAAATTGTCATTAAAAGGATGCAGGGTATCAAGTGTTCTTATAACTTTGCAGAAGGAGTTTGCACTTGTTTCTTCCCTCATCTCCTACTTAGTCAATGACTGTGCCGTCTGGGAACGTGCATCTGCAGGCTTAAACTGTGCTGTGTCCTCTTTGAGCTTCAAGCTCTGGTAAGCTATGTTTTGTCGCTTTCCTTTCTCAAATATGAGAAATGTAATGTTATTTGCCCTTTGAGGGTCTCATCACACACACACACACACACACACACACACACACACACACACACACACACACACACACACACACACACACACACA